TATACTTTATATATATATATATATATATATATATATATATATATATACACACACGTTGGCTGGCTCAAGTTTAGGAGCTTACTCCAGCCTTTCCCTGCTGTTGCTGGTGGTCAGAGTTGGGGAACACCACAGGTCTGACACAAAGAGATAAAACACACAAGCACCTACAGAGAGTTTAGAAGCACCACCTTAATTTTGTCCTCAGCTTTGTTGTTAATCCAGTAACAGGTCATTCATTAAGAGGCAAAGGAATGGCAGCTACGCCACTCCCTCCCTCAAAGTTTTTTAACTGCAACAGCTAAAGACCATGACGTAGATCTAAAACAATAAAATAAAAATACACCTGGACCCCAGATTTCTAACCAAACTGTCAGTTTAACATGATTTGAAATCTGTCGGGCTGCACAGAAATCTGTCGGAATCAGCCTCCCCACCATCACAGACATCTACACCTCCAGATGCAGGAAGAGGGCCACCTGCATCATGAAAGACCCCACTCACCCAACACACAAACTTTTTGCCCCACTCCTCTCAGGAAGGAGGTTAAGGAGCATTAAGTGTAGAACCACTAGACTGAGGAACAGCTTCTACACTGAGGCTGTTAGACTCATGAATCTCTAACTAGAATAATCACTGTGAAAAACCATATCATGTTGCTGCTGATCTGTTTCATGTTTCTGCTGATCTGTTTCAATGTTGATGTGCTCATGCGTGCTCATCTGCTCACAGACTCATGCTCATGTTTGTGCTGATGTTCAATGTTTTATGTTATGAGTGCTTAGTGTATATTTAGTTGATGTTTTTCTTAGTTCATATCTTAGATGTTATTACTGTTTTTCTTGTACATTTTATTGTTGGATGTAACTGGGACCTTGTGTACATAATTTTGCTCCACCACATGTACCACATGAGGTGCAAATGACAATAAAGAAACTCTGACTCTCTCTCTGACTCTGATTTCAGTATGGTAAGCTGTAATGATCATAAAAATAGCTGCACGTTGGTTTTTTTATAGGTGTAGTTTGAATGCAATTTTTAAATATAAAAAATAAAAATATCTAATTTAAGTCATTATGTTGGAATACAATGTGAATCAGTCATGTGATGGACTTGCGACCTGTCCAGGTTGTCCCCCACTCCTCGCACAGTGATGGCTGGACAAGGGCACCAGTGACCCCCGCGACCCCAAAAGGAAAAAAATATATTAAAGTAAAGATAATGGTTGGATAGATGGACAATGTGAATCAACTAAGATGTCATTCATTGCTTTTTATTTATTTAATTTCTTACACTGCTAAGTCTGGTCATGTTTTCTTTGTACAAATTTAACATTTGCAACTCCTGATACTTAGTATACATAATTTTCATCCCATCAGTCTGAGGACTGGGTTTTGTTATAATTTATGACAATTTACTACGAAATCTACATTGACAGTGTACTTTTTTGTTGATGCTATACAACAATCTGCATTAACTACTTCACAATGACCAAAGCTTTACATGATTTTTTTTTAACTGCACAGAGTTTATATTTTAAATTAACAGATGAAGCAACTGAGCAATACTAGTTTTCTTTATTTTCTCTAAAAGCTGACTCTCCATTTACCTTTTGTTCATTTATTTATCCTCACTTTTGACCTTGTGTTTATTAATTATCACATTTCACTGGATCCAATTTTCTCTAGACACTCCTCTTCTGCCACAACCCAAACTTCCAGGAAGCGGTTGTCCCTGGCAACAGACGAACCTGACACAACGTGTTCATTGGCCAGCAGATGGAGCAGTGGATACGCTGACATTTATGGGGAGAAACAGGAAAAAATAAATTGCTGGAGAATTGTTAGGATAGAAAAGGGAACAAACATGTAAGAAGAAAAAAAAATAGCTCATGTAAATGGAATGAGAGGAAGAAAAGAACTGAGAGAAGCTGAATAAAGAAAGCTAAATGCAAGAAAATAATGATGGTTAAAAACATGCTTTTCACATATTTATCACTCTAGGCTAAATAATTGGGGGTGGGGAGAGACAATTAGAAACATATTTTTGATGTTAAAATAAGTTGTATATCAGTATAAAAAAAAGACATATTTATGGCATAACATCCAAGGTAAGGTTGTAATAAAAAATAAAACTAAACCATTAACTGTATATGAAGGATGGCCACTGTTATCTACTGTCAGATGTCAAGCTAAAGAAAAACGGCCCCAAAGTGGAACACCACTGTTGTTGGTAGTTGGGAATGGCTTCATAACAGGAACACTGGATCCAATAGGCCTGATTGACACAACTCTGGAATTTTACTTTAAAAAAAAACAACAAAAACTAATAATATGTTTATCTCCATTCACATAATTCTAACAAAAATGCCCATTCCATGACATCAGGTGGTAAGAATGTCCACATGAACTTTTTTTTGGGGGGGGGTGGGGGGTGGGGTGGTAGGGGTGGGGGGTGGGTAGCATTTTTAGTTTGAAAAAAAGGTTATATCAAAATACTGTAAGTGTAGCTCGTTTTTTCTAATACAGTAGTCCCTCGCTACTTCGCGGTTCATTTATCGCGGACTCGCTCTATGAGTTTTTTTCAAAATAAGATTGGACATGACACACAATTGGCTGATTGATGGATGAGCTGCATGATCGGAATGGAGTTTTTATTTAAAATAAATTATTTTAAAGCATTTAGTACCTGCTGCATCTTTGTGCAGCTCATACTGCAGGATAAACTTCCTGCTGAAGCTGATCAACTGTTCTTCGTGTAGAGCTGAGAAGTGGGCGTGGCCAACAGTGTTTGCAGGTGGCAAAGAACAACTGAGGCAGAGAGCTGAAATCATGATATGCTGTGCTCTTTTAGAGCGTTTAGAGTTTAGAAACATTTAGAATAGTGCAAGAGTGTGGGAAGAGTTTAAAGCGCATATATATATATATATATATATATATATATATATATATATATATATATATATATATATATACTAGGGGTTGAACGAGTATATAATTTTTAAACTCGACATTAACATAATAAAACCCGAGTAGAACTCGAGTATTTGATGACGTCATAGATCTCAAGATACAAAAATAAATAAATAAATAAAACCACAAAAAAGGTAACTATTTACAAAAAAAGACCAACAAAACATTGGGAGCGTATATTATGCTGCTACCATTTATCATTCTGCAAATAAGTCACAGGAAAAACTAAACTATTAGTTATTATTATTAAACTGCAAACGTAAAGAAACATGCAGCACGTCAAAACCGAAACTTAAAACAGTGTGTGTGTGTGTGTGTGTGTGTGTGGGGGGGGGGTCGACCACCCCGCTCCACCGCCAGCTGTGGTGAGCATTAAGTTTAATTTTAGAGATTAATATGTTTATAGATTTTTTAATAGGTTTAGAGATTAATATTTTTTGCTTTTTGTTTGTGAAACAAGGTCAGAGGAAGCTGATTCTGGTTCGGTGGATTGGACCCGGTGTTACACCATACTCCGTGACCTGCAACAGTGCAACACCGCCCCCTATGGTCATACGGTGGTCACATAATATGACGTCACTACGGATACTCAACGTTAAATTTTTAACCTCGATAGATGTCCTAGCAATCGATGTGTAGATTACTTGAGTACTCTGTTAATGCCCTAATATATACCTACACACACACAAAATAAATTACTTACTACTTGTACTACTATTCCTACTTTGCGGTTTTTCACTTATCGCAAAGCTTCAGGGTATGGATCCCCCGCGATAAACGAGGGACTACTGTACACACTTTTCAGTTTCAGTATGGTCCAAGTTTAGTGGAAACAGTATCAGAATAAAGTACAAGTGAAACAGATTTAGAAAATGTATTGTTTCGGTTTCTACAGCACAAAGTGATGGTGAGTATGTGCACATTAGGTTGCTTGGTCATTATTTCTGCTGCACGGTGGTGCAGATGGTATAGCTGCTGCCTCTCAGCGAGAAGGTCACCGTAACGAATCCCAGCCGAGGGCCTTTCTGGGCGGAGTTTGTATGTTCTCTTTGTGCATGCGTGAGTTTTCTCCGGGTACTCAGGTTTCCTCCCACAGACCAAAAACATGCATGTTAGGCTGATTGGTAACTCTAAATTGTTCCAAGGTGTGAGTGAGAGAGTGAATGGTTGTTTGTCTCTATGTGTCCCTGTGATGGACTGGAGTCCTGTCCAGGGTGTAAAGAAAATGGATTGATGGATGAATGAATGGGTGGGTGGATGGTTGGCCATTATTTCTGAAGATACACCAAAACCAGAGTTTGAAAAATCTCAAATTTTTCCACTAAACTTATGTTTGTGAGTAAACAGAAAGTGCAAACAAAGCACTGAATATTAATTATTTTTTAAACATTTGTTAGAATGTGCTCTGACTATAGACTTGCATTTAAAAATGTTATCAAGTAATACAAAGCATGTAGAATACACTGCTCGTGAAACTCATCGTAGCATCAAATAAATTTAGTCCTTCTAATAATTTCGAAGATGATCATATTGAAAACGTATCTACCCATAAATAAAATTAGGCTCACCAATATATAATTTGTCAATTAAGGTTTCAAGTTTCCCTCCGTTATCTTCTGTCACCTAAAATGGTCACCTCTAGGTCCAAAAAGATACAGATAAGAAAGGCCAAATGTCAAATGTTATGCTTCTAACACAACTTAATACTGGAAAGAAAAAGAAAAAAAAAACATTGTTGCTGTGAGGTGACAGCTCTAACCACTGCACCACTGTTCAGACATGAGTGAACACTACTTTAAATACTACTTTATAAATTATTTATTAGTGATTTACACTGAAGAAATTCTGACAGCTTATGATAACCCAACATTTATCTGTGTACAGTAGTCCCTCAGGGGGGGGGGGGGATGAAAACCCCAAAGCCGTTTATTTTAGTATATATATATATATATATATATATATACATACATATATATATATATATATATAAATATATATATATATATAAAGAAGAGCGTTTTAAACCCCTCCCATACTCTTGCAATATTCTAAACAATGTTTCTAAACTTTAAACTCACTAAAGGAGAAACAGAATGTCATGATTTCAGCTCCCTGCTTCAGCTGCTCTCCCCACATGCACGCGCTCTTGGCCACGCCCACTCCTC